CATCAAAGTTATTTGAGTGTTTGTGCTTGCTAAAGCTTTTTAGATTTCACATATGTGGAATTCCCTTGATTTCTGGATTTTTAATGGATTAATTTTTTATTCTTTATCAATTTTTCTAAATTTTTTTATTCCTTGATATTCTGAATTTTTCTGCCGCATTTCTTTTTTTTTTTTCTTATTTTTTTTTTTTGGGTTGGTAAATTCTTATTTTTCCTACCTGAAGAGGTGCATCCTTATCATGTACAGGTCCCTCTTTATGATGTTATCTGCCATCTTTTGTTGCACTTGTCTTCATATTCAGCACCCTGGCAATCTATGTAAAACACATAGTGTATTATTTCCATCGTGATATTTTTATTTATTTATTTATTTATTTTTTATATATTAAGGAGGTAAAAGTGCCTAAGTTACTATTTTACAGCCATAAAACTAGCTTGAGTGGTACAATCCTTCAACAACTGTTACATCAAAAGGGTAATAAACTATAACTATTTTGCTATTTACTATTTCTCCATTTATACTCCTATATACAATACTTCAATTACAAAGTTGAACACATAGCTCCACCGCATAGATCATTGTCATGCTTTAATTGAAAAGTGATTGCCTCGAATTCCTCTTACTCCACTTGATCCTTATTCTCCCAAACATCAAAACGGTATGGATATTTTCTCATAAGTATGTTGATTTGAGATATTACCCGGTATTTGACTGTAGCCTTGATTAGTTTGTATTATTTACAATGCGATGGTGAACGCATATGTTCAATGAAGTTCTGAGGTCACATGATGCAGGACAAAAATGTGGTGGTTAAGAAATCAGAACTTAGGCTGATTAAAGAATAGTATGTAGCAAAAACTAAAAGAATTTGTAGGAAAACAAGCTTGGAAATCGCAGGAAAACAGGGATTAAGGGTAAGAAAGGAGGAAGAGAAGAAAACCTAAGAATCACTTTTAGGGCTTTTTGGGGTCACACCGTATGAATCCTAGGCATCACATCAAGAATTTAGTTGAGTCACACAACTATTGCAAAGCAAAGCTTATTGCAGGAATTTTTATTAAACATCTCTAAAAAATCTCCTCATATGAAATACATATAAATAGGCCTAAAATTTAACCTAAACCAAAGACAACTAGGATTCTTACCTAATTTCCTTTTTATTCCAAGAAATTTCTGCACCATAGCCAATATACTAAAATATCTTTTCCTAAATATTAATACTGAAATAAATAATTAAATTACTACTTAATAAAGGATTAACTTAACCAAAGTCCCAACACTTTGGCCCCTTCCTTGGATCATAATGATCCTGGACATAAATATAGAAGAACCTACTGATAGGATTCTTCTACCATTCCTTGTCCCCGTCATCACAACAACTTTCTTCGGTCTTCACCAAATGAAAGCTAGCACCAATTGTTCTTAGTTTGTAGCTATCTTAGAGTTTGAGGCCCATGTTGAACGCTTGCACTAATATCTGTGTATTAAAAGCTTGGAAGGTTTTGAAACCTTAATGACCTGTTGTGCTTCTCCTTATTCTGTTTGTCATATCCTTGTCTTTTTCATTGTTTAGAGTTACCATTTCGGAGAGTTCTCTGCATAATAAATTCTAAGAATGACTCTTGCTACAAGAATTGAGGTCAGACCAGTTATTCATATATGTATGTCAAGGGCATATTTTCCTAGATACCCTTATGTTGACAGGGAGCTAGTCAATGTATCTCCTGTAGAACTTATGTATCTGGTTTTCATCCCGGAAGCCTTTGACCCTGGGTGTGTCGATTTCTTTGACGGCCCTACTTTAATACGTAAGAATGTTCCATTCTGCAATATTGATCCTTTTTCTTAGCCTGCTTTTGGATTTTCCTCCCAAAACAAGTCTTAGAGTTAGGTAACCTGCTGTGGCTAACACCTTGAGGAATTACCATAAAAGAATCATAATGGATAATAAAATCTGTTTTCCTATCATCCCAGCTATATAAACTTCAAAATATCACTTATTTGCTGCATAAAAGAACTTTAACAGTTACATATATCAGATGATTGGTTCTTTGCTCTAAGTATACAACTCACCATAGCAAAATTTTCCTAGTCCATTTTGCCATGCGTTATTTCTGCTTAGTTGATGTAATATTCAGCAACTAAAGCTACTGAGGCATTTGCAATAGAATTTTCCTTTTTCTCTATTTCAGATAACCAGCTTTTCCTTTCCACCATATTTGTTGATGGAAGGGTGCAAGTTGCAAATAACTACCTAGCACACAATCTGTTTTATTTCTTTATATTGGATTTTCCTCCTTGGCAATGCCAAATCTAAATTAGTGTATTCAAGCGAGTTGATATTATCCTCCTAGTAATTGCTTTTTTTCTTATACAAATTTGAACAGTAAGAAAGAAAGGCTGCAGTATGCACCAGGCACTACAATATCTACTTTCGGTCGTTGTTTCCTTTGTACACTTGATTCCTTAGTGGTGACTTCTTGTTTGCCAAGGTGAGAGACATTGAAAATTCGAATTTTTTGCATCGACATCAAAAGTAAAAAATTTAATGCACTGAAATTATTTATTGCTGTGGCGAAGCTGCTTTCTCCTCTCTGAAATGTAAAATCAATTAATTTGATTCCTTTTTTTACTTGGGCTTAAGTTTGTCTGGGACCGTTAACTGTATTATATTGAGAATTTCGTTGTTATTATAAGAGATATTTGTCATATTTTTCACGATGGGGCCGGGATAAGGGTGAAAGACATTCTGTGGTATTTTTTAAGTTAATGACCCATCTTATGGTGCTTATTACAGTTGCTACTAATTTTTTCAAGCATGTTATATAAAAGCTTTGGCGTCTTTATGTCAGTGGCTACTAATCTTTTTAAGCATGTTATAAAAGCCTTTGATTCTTTATGTCAGTGGCCACTAATTTTTTTAAGCATGTTATATAAAAGCATTTGCTTATTTATGTTGTGTAATTAAGATGTACCTAGTTAAATGCAAATTTTGCATCAATAGAGCAAGTGATCATTGTTGTTCTAAAACTTAGATGGCAGAACATATTGGACACACAAGACACAATCATGCTACCGTCCGGAGCTATTGGAGTGGAAAAGATGTCAAGCTATTTATAAATACATTGTTAGAGCATAAGAGGAAAGGTGAGATGGGAAATAACAATTTTGCGTGGACCAAGATATGCAAGGAATACAATGCCAAAGCAGAATTCAAACAGTCTCTGAATCAGATGAGCCAGAAATACAATTGTATCAGAACTGAATGTGTGTTTTTGGCAACTGAAAGGGTAACCAGAGATTGATTCCCATTCTGAGAGTAAAGTTCCCCCTTTTATAGGGCCTTGCAGCCGGTTCCTTCATCATGAGAGCCTCTCCATGCTTGTAATTTGTTTAATCCTCCCAATGCCTTGTGCCTGGAATCCAAACTTGGCTGTTCTCCTTCTCTTCTTCCAGAAGTGGCAGCATTGCTCTCATTGATCAGCAGGGGTGGCTGAAATTTCGGCTGGGGGACAAGCATGGATCTTGGAGGAGACATACTCATTAATGGCAAGATGCTTCTTGTCTAAGGAGGTGGTTCTTCGTCCAGCTCAGCAACATTGCCTCAGCAGCCCACAATTTATTCCCTTGGCCTTAATTTTTCAGCAATTATGCAATCAAACCCCAACCTAATAAAAACACAAAAACTAGTTAAGTAGAATGCACTAATAATATGAAATACCCCCCAATTTCTTACTAAATTCAGAGTTAATTGTGATGCTTTTATGTAACAAATAAACCATTATCAACTCTCCCAAACTGGAAGAATTGCTTGTCCTCAAGCAAAACAACTAAACTCTTGTTGGCACTTGCAAAATTGTACATAAGAAATAGGGGAAAACAACATTGTCAAAATGACTGAAGACTGACTTACTCCCCTGAGTGAGGATTCCCACTCAGGCAGGTGACACTGAACAAAGCAACAACCTTAAACACAACTAGATAGATCCTGTCAACCTTTTGTCTCAGATTCAAGTGAGGAAAACATACACTTAAGGATACCAAATCTTTCTGCAATCCAGAGTCAAACAACTAACCTTCACATGGAATTAGAATGTATATGCCACAAGTGTTAGATCATGCCAAACCTACCAATCCATTCTAAGTTAACCGGTTGAGCTTTTGGTGGTCATTCTTGTGATCTGGTCTTGCCCAAGTTATTTCGACTCGATTTACCTACTGAGGCTTCAATCATGGATTTCCTGCACAACCTTTCTGCTTTTTTTTTTTAATTTTTATTTTTAAACAAGGTAGGAATGTAGATGGACCAACCTAACAGGGGTGTTATTCAACTTTATCTCTCCACTGCCTTATACCTCAACCCTTATTACTCCAACAGTTTGTAACTTTTTGTGGTGGTTCCTTGCTGTTACCCCTAAGGTTTCAGTTGATCCATTCCTAAATTTTTTATTTTTTTTTAAACAAACAGGCTGTGAATGGATACCACAAGGGAAGTCTTAGATTTACGACATCTCTCATCTAATTGTAGCTCAGAACTAGACACAACTCACAACAATGGATTAGTCATGCCAAATTTTTAAACTTTACGTTCTAGGCAGTCACTTCCATGAGTGGCATTGTTCATGTGTGTGAGTGAATGTCAGCCATTTTTTTCCTTCATACATCAGACTCAGTATCAAAAGTGTTTTAGCAAAATTTTTTCAAAACCATTATCATCCTAGACTGTTGACAGCTCCTTAGAAAAATTTTTCATTTTTTTTAGAGATATTTACAGACTCGATCTAAACATGAAGCTAAGGGACCTAAATGACACTTGACCTGACCACAAACTACTCTACTACTCCCCCAAACTTATTCTAAGCATTGCCCTCAATGCTTAACAAAACAAACCCGGCAACACACAGAAAACAAAGAAAAACACAGAACTAACAAAAAATTCATCATTTAAACAGAAAAAAATGAATTGCTGATTAAGGGAATTAGAACACTTCCCTGAGTGTTCATTGAGGCATGCCATGGAGTGGATGGACTGGTGGATCATGCGGCATCGGGTAATTTTCAGGACATCCAATGCACTTGTGCATTTCCTGTAGGAATTTCTCCATCCTCATTTGGCATTGGTGGACATAATCCAGGATGAACCTGGTCTGCTTGTTGAAATCTCTCTGCCTCAATTGTCCAGCTGGAGTGGGAGTGGATATTGCTTGTCCTGAGGATGAGGCACCTGGGGGTTTCTGGTCCAACTTATGCATCCTCAATGGTTGCTGCAAGCTGCTCTCTGCTTCTGTGTGTAGGAAGGTCACCCCTGCCCTCTGGCACAGCATGGTGATCATAACTGGAAAATACCAGCTCTTTACCTTTGGATCAGTGATGCATCTGGTGAGTTGATCTCGGATGACCGAGGCTGCATCAAATGGTGTGTCCGTGACAATGGCATACAGTAGCAGAGCCATCTCATAGGTGACTTTTGCGGTGTAGGATGTTGGCATCAGATTGTAGCAGACGAAATAGAGCCACAAATTTAGATCAGGCGTCTGCAACGCGTTTGCTGCAAATCCCAAAGGATTTCCTTGATCATCCATCTCCCAGCTTGTGCCTTCTTTTGCCAATCTAGACAGAATGGCGTGTTCCAGTGGTTGATTTGGATGCAGGGCAGCAAGGGTTTCCCTGTAATTAGTGCTGATTCTTGGTAACTTCTAGATGCCCTGATAGCTTCTGTGCTGCAATTGACGCTGATGCCTCTGACAAATACTCCGTCTCTGGGAGCAGTGTTGAAGTTGCCATAGAATTCTTCCACAATCTGGAGGCGGGGCCTGACAAGGGGCCTTGAAAACACCTCCCACCCGTAGAGTTTGATGTAGGCAAACACTTCACCATCTTCACCTATTCCCCTCTCTGTAATAAATTTTTGCTTGATGTGTTTTAGAAAGAAGTCCCAAGCCTTCTTTCTTGGGAGTAGCCTGGGCTCCCACTCGTCGGTGATGGCATTGAGGGCTTGTTCTTACAAAGCCCTTGGTGGTTGTGGAGGCGGCGGTGGAGTGGGTTCTCTGGCAGGGGATGGTGGTGGAGTGGGCATTCTTTGCCTTTCAGGAGAGGATGAGGAAGAGGAAGAGGATATCCGTCTTCTTGTATTGGAGGCATTTTTGCAGGCAGCAACCTTTCTCCTTGCCGGCGGCATCTTGTACAAACCCTAGGAATTGAATTGGCAAATTGAAAGAGGATTTTTGATTGAATCTGAATTTTGACTTAGTTGCCTGAAAACTCAGAGAAATGGTGAGTATGTTCACACAGGGAAGTGGTATTTGAAGAGGTGGTTCTGGAAATAAGGAGAAGATGAAGAAGACGAAGCAGTGGAGGAGTTATGAATTAATGCACATCAGTTAAAGTTTTTGGGAAGTCGTGGCTGACTCGAGTGACTCAAAAAGGCGGATGCGGTTAAAATTGAAATTTGAAAATTTCTGGAAAAATTTCCCCCAAACTTAAACTATAATTACAGCTCAAAAAGGTGAGTTTTTTTGCAGAAAGTGCTGTACAGTTGTTCTTACTCAGGCGAGTGGATTAACCCACTTGTGTGAGTGACGTCATGGTTAGAAGACTTACAGAATTACTTTCCCGTAGGTTCACTTGGCTGAGTGACCTTCTTCACTCCTAGGAGTGAGTTTACCTGGGGCCTTCTGTTACACTTTCTGAAATCTGTTGGGGTGGCAAATACCTTGTCCATTCCTGCAAAATTAAAATAGCACATTGTTAGTCACACAAAAGCAAAACGTATGGGTTGCCTCCCATAAAGCGCATTGGTTTTAAGTCTCATGTCAGACTTCAAAAGAGTTCTCAGTTAAGTTCCCTTAGGATCAGAATATGATAGTTCTGTCCTTTACTCCCTTCTGTCCATCCACGGTATGGTTTAAGCCTCTGACCATTAACCAAAAAGGTGTTGCCATTCTGTGGATTCATGATCTCTACTGCTCCTTGAGTTAGGACCTTGTTGATTCTGTAAGGACCGGTCCATCTTGACTTCAACTTCCCTCGAAAGAATTTCAGTCTAGAGTTAAATAGCAGGACTTCTTGCCCTTCTTGTATATCTTTCTTGACAATGTGGTGATCATGGTAGGCCTTAGTTTTTGCCTTATAAAGCCTGGAAGATTCATATGCTTCTAGTCTGAATTCTTCCAGCTCATTCAATTGCATCAGTCTAAGGTCCTTGCTTCTTCTTGGATCAAGATTCAGTTCCTTGATAGCCCAGTAAGCTTTATGTTCCAACTCCGCTGGCAAAAGGCATGCTTTCCCATAGACCAGTTTGAACGGGGACATACCAATGGGAGTCTTGTATGTTGTTCTGTATGCCCATAAAGCTTCATCCAACTTTGAGGACCAATTCTTTCTAGTAGAGTTGACAACCTTTTCCAGGATTCTTTTCACTTCCCTGTTTGACACCTATGCTAGCCCGTTTGATTGTGGATGGTATGGTGTTAATACTCTGTGCCTGATTCCGTATTTCTTTACGATGGCTGCAAATGACTTGTTACAAAAGTGTGATCCTTCATCACTGAGTATCATCCGGGACGTACCAAACCTGGCAAAAATGTTCTTTCTTAGAAACCTGAGAACAGTCTTAGCATCATTGTTTCTTGCAGCTACGGCTTCAATCCATCTTGAAACATAGTCCACTGCCAGTAGGATGTAAGAGTTCCCAAAGGATGACACGAAAGGGCCCATGAAATCTATCCCCCATACATCAAACAGCTCCACCGCAAGCATGTTATGCTGTGGCATCTCATTTTTCTAGGAAATGTTTCCTGTCCTTTGGCACCGGTCACAGCTTTTGACAAATTCTCTTGCATCTCTGAACAGAGTTGGCCAATACAGTCCAGCTTGCAGAACCTTGATTGCCGTTCTTTGACCGTTGAAATATCCACCATAGGGAGAATTGTGGCATTTGTGCAATACTTCTGTGAACTCAGATTCTGGAATACACCTTCTGATCAATTAGTCTGCACATCTTTTGAATAAGTAGGGTTCATCCCACAGGTAGAGTTGGGCATCATGCAGGAATCTCTTGCGTTGTTGAGGGGTGAAATCTGGGGGAATAACACCAGCAGCAACAAAGTTAGCAAAATCTGCAAACCAAGGCATGTTACCTGTCACTCCCATGAGTGTGCCTGTCACTCGCCAGAGTGACTCATTAGGGAATTTTCTGAAATTGGAGTTGTGTCTTCTGGAATTTCTTCAAGTCTTGACAGATGGTCTGCTACCTGATTCTCAGCACCTTTTCTGTCCCTTATCTCCAAATCGAATTCCTGTAACAACAACACCCATCTAATCAATCTTGGTTTAGACTCTTTTTTATTGATCAAGTACCTTATGGCAGCATGGTCTGTATAGACTATGACTTTCATTCCTAGCAAATAAGCCCTGAATTTGTCAAATGCAAACACAATTGCCAGCATTTCCTTCTCTGTAGTGGTGTAGTTGATTTGTATAGGGTTGAGGGTTTTACTAGCATAGTAAACAACATGTAACACCTTGTTCCTTCTTTGTCCAAGTAAAACACCAACTGCAAAATCACTAGCATCACACATTAGTTCAAAAGGTTGTGACCAATCAGGTGTGATAATGACAGGTGCAGTGATGAGTTTCTTTTTCAATTTAGTAAATGCAGTTAAACAGGATTCATCAAAAATAAAAGCAGTGTCCTTTTCAAGCAAGTTACACAAGGGTTTAGAAATTTTTGAAAAATCTTTAATGAACCTTCTGTAAAAACCGGCATGGCCTAAGAAACTCCTCACTCCCCTGACTGTGGTTGGTGGGCTGAGCCTTTCTATGACTTCAATCTTTTCCTTATCCACTTCAATTCCTTCCTGTGAGATCTTATGTCCCAAGACAATTCCCTCAGTCACCATAAAATGGCATTTCTCCCAGTTGAGGACTAGGTTTGCTTCTATGCATCTCTTCAATATCAGTCCAAGGTTGTCCAGACATGCATCAAATGATTTACCAAAAACCGAGAAGTCGTCCATAAAGATCTCAATTATGTCTTCCACCATGTCAGAGAAAATGGCCATCATAGATCTTTGAAATGTTGCCGGTGCATTGCACAGTCTAAATGGCATTCTCTTGAAGGCAAATATGCCATAAGGGCAGCTGAAAGTCGTCTTCTCTTGATCATCAGGATCTATGGCAATCTGGTTGTAACCTGAGAAACCATCAAGGAAACAATAATACGTGAATCCAGCCAATCTATCCAACATTTGATCAATAAAGGGAAGGGGAAAGATGGTCCTTTCTGGTAGCTTTATTAAGCTTCCTGTAGTCCATGCACACTCTTCACGAGTTGTTCAGCCTTGTAGGGATCAGTTCCTGGAGGTCATTCTTTATCACTCTGATTCCTCCCTTCTTGGGCACGCACTGCACTGGACTCACCCACTTGCTATCAGATATTGGGAAGATGATTCCAGCGTCCAACAGCTGGATAATCTCCTTTTTCACCACTTCCTTCATGACTGGGTTGAGCCTTCTTTGTCCTTCAATGGTTGGCTTGGCATTGTCTTCAAGCAGGATCTTGTGCATACATATGGAAGGACTAATGCCCTTAATGTCTGCAATTGACCACCCAATGGCTTCTTTGTGCAACCTCAGTACTCTCAGCAATTTATCCTCTTCAGTACCTGTAAGCATGGAAGAAATGATCACAGGTAAAGTGTTACTTGCTCTAATATAGGCATACTTTAAATGTGAGGGCAGAGGATTAAGCTCGAGATGAGGTGGTTCTTCAATTGAAGGTTTGAGGCATCTTCCTTCCTTGGTCGGGTCTAACAGTTCAAAGGGTTGTTGTTTAGGATGCCACTTGGGGGAGTGGTTAAGGTAACTCAGGCAAGTGGCCCTGTACTCATCCCCTCCTTCCTGTTCCTCATTACTGTCTGGGCATAAGAGTTCCTTGAGGAGATCATCTTGCAGTAATTCTTCTGTCACTGCGTCTTCTGCTTCTACACTTCTCACCATGTAGCAGTTATGGACTTCAGCAGGATATCTCATATTTTTGAAGATGTTGAAGGTAACCTTCTCTCCATCAAAGTGCAGTGTGATTTCTCCTTTTTTCACCTTAATGATTGCATCACTTGTTGCCAGAAAAGCTCTCCCCAAGATGATGGGCACATCCCTGTCTTCTTCCATGTCCAAAACCACAAAGTCTGTTGGGTAAACAAAATTACCAACCTTCACAAGAACATCATGTAAGATTCCCTTTGGGGAGGTCAGTGATCTATCTACCAACTGCAATGTCATGTTAGTAGGTACCAGAAATTTGTCCAGATCAAGTGATTTAAATACAGAAAATGGCATGAGATTTATGCTTGCACCAAGATCTAATAATGCCTTTGAAAATTCTCTGATTCCTACCGTACAAGGCAGAGTGAAACTACCCGGATCCTTTAGCTTAGGTGGCAATTTTCTCAGAATAGCTGCACAACATTCTTCATTTAGAGTGACAAAAGCAGAGTCATGCACTTGTGGTTTATTTGCCACCAAATCTTTCAAGTACTTGAAGTATTTAGGCATTTGTTTAAGTACATCAACAAGTGGTACATTAATATGTATACTTTCTAAGTTTTGAATAAACCTGTTGAGCCCTTCATCCATTTGGCCTTCTTTTGTCTTACCAGATATGGTGGATTTGGAGCTGGCTGTTGAGGTTCCTTAATGGGTGCTAGAAATTGAATTTTCTCCATTCCAGGTTTTTCAGTTGTTTGCTCCTGTTTTACCAAATCATCATTACCAGATATTTTCTTAAAGAATGTTTCATTCTTACCTGCAGGGTCACTCACAGGAGTGACTTTTTCACTTGGCTGATTGAGTTGCTTTCCACTTCTGAGAGTGACAGCCTTTGTTTGCTCTTGGTCACTCCCCTTAGGATTTACAACTGTATCACTGGGGAGGCTTCCAGATGGTCTTTCAGCATTTTGTTTTGCAATTTGGGCCAACTGGTTCTCCAAACTTTTGCAAGACACCGCCAAACTCTTGATTGCATTTTGCACAGAAATCCATTCATCTTCCCTTGGTATGTATTACTGGTTAGAACGTTGCTGATTCTGACAGTTGGGAGGTTGACCATCTTGTCTGTGAAATCCTGGGGGTTGAGCAGGCCTCTGATAGTTTTCTTGTTGTGGTGCATTGTTCCAGTTAGGCTGCTGCTGATTTCTCCAATTGTTGAAGTTGTTGAATCCCCCGGCATTGCCCTGTCTAACAAACTGGACAGCTTCCATTTTGGAGGGACAGTCATCCAAACTGTGGGATCCATCACATAATACACACACTTCAGTCTTGGATTTGGACAGCTCACTCCTAAGTTTAGTCATTTCATTCATCACAACAGCCATTTGTGCTTGCAAGTGTGTACTAGGGTCAAGTTCCATCATCCCTGGCTGTTTTGTACTTGCCCTTGGATCTGATTGCCACCTTGAGTGGTTGGTGGTCATATTGTCAAGCAACTGCCTTGCTGCATCAACCGGCTTCACACCACCAGCTGCAGCATCAAGGGAGTCTCTTGTAGTTGGTAATAGCCCATTGTAGAAGATGCTCAGTTGAAGATGCTCTTCCAAACCATGCTGAGGGCATTTCCTGACCATTTCCTTCAGTCTTTCCCATGCTTCATAGAGTGTTTCTATTCCATGCTGCTTGAAGTTCATTATTGCTGTTCTGAGTTGTGCAGCTTTTGCGGGTGGAAAG